TGAGCACCCACAACCAGCCCTCTAAGACTCGTTGGGGTAGTGACACTTCCTAGCCGAGGCTCCTGAGTGGGTGCTGGGCAGCCCATTCTGAGAGCTAAGGCCCAGCTGCCCTGGTCACCCCACAGATTGTGGCGGCGCTGGAAGCCAACCCCACAGCCCGGAGGACACAGCTGCAGCACAAGTTTGAGCAGGTGGTGGCCCTGATGGAGGACAACATCTATGAGTGCTACAGCGAGGCCTGAGCCCAGCACCACCCACACACTGCAAGGCGAGGCCACCTTGGGAGTTTCCAGCTATGCAGAGACTGGGGCAGGGGCTCCATCCCAACTTGGGCAGGGCCTCAAATGCCACAGCTGGACCGTAGGGAACACCCTGTGTACCCTGCTGCCCTAGCAGCTGCTAAGACGCTGCCTAGTAGCAGCCAGCACGGACAGGGACACGGACAGGGCCTGGAAGCACTACCTCAGCCACATGCGAAGGGCTCTCATGGGTTCTGCTTCAGTCACTAAACGCTGTCTCCTTACCACCTGGGCAGGACCCACCATGGATACAGAGCAGGGCCAGACTACCCCAGCTCTGGGCCCAGCGTGGGCAGTGCCTATGCCTACCCTCTGGGACGCTGGGATGGACAGGGAGGACCCTGCTTCCCCAGAAGAACACGGCTGGGATGTACTGAGGTTGTAGCTGGGCTACTCAGTCCTTCTGAAGTGTTCCTAAAGATAGCACCACTTTTTTTTTTTTTTTTTAAGCTTTTATATGTTTTAAAACTTACTAAGTGCTGACTGTGAATAGCTGCCACCTGTGCAGGGGCCTCCATGCAACACTGGAAGTGACTGTCCCCAGCACAGGCCTGGCTGGGCCTCTGCCCCTGGAGAATTCACCCAGTTCTATCTCCCACTGCTGGGATGGTGCAGAGTTAGGCAGCTGCAGGGAGTCGCTGGAACTGTCTTTGCAATAAAAGCTGCCAGGAATACTGCGGCTCAGCCCTTGTCCTGGGGCCCAGGGACGTGGGGCCATTAACTCCCCTAGTCTGCAGTGGAATGGAGGTAGGGGCTGGCTGTGGTCCCTCGGGCTCCCAGGAAGAGGTCTCCACTGTGCACTGCCCAGAGTGGTCCCTGTTGTGTGCATGTAGAACGCAGTGCTGGGCGAGGAAGCCAAGGCTGTGCATGTACTGGGCCAGGCTCACACTCAGCCACACCCCAATCCTGCATTTGTAACAAGCCCAGATGGAGAAACAGGTACTTCCCAAGGGGTCACAGCGGGCGGGGGGGGAAGGGGGTCCTTCTTTGGGCCTCTGCTTCCAGTCCAGGTTCTCTCCTTGCACCCTAAAATGTGAAGAGGGCGAAGTGCTACTGGGTGGAGGAGCTGACTGTCCTCTGCTTGCCCTGAATTTCTCATTTTAAGTATCATTACTGCACATTTCTGACAAGGACACAGGTGGCTCCCCAGCAGGACAAGTCCCACGTGCCAGTGCTGAGCAGTGACTGACAAGTTGGGTACACAGGCTACCACCTTTTCTGGGCTACCTGCTGCATCTAGGACTCACTGTCAGGTCATCACAGGGCCATCCTCCCACTGCCCAACAAGGCCACAGAAGCGTCCCTGTCATCAAGAGTAAAAGATGGCAGCCAAAAGTGGTGGTGCCCAACTATCACCCCAGCATTCAGGAGGCTGAGTTAGGAGGATCACCATGTTTTCTAGGCCAGCTTAGGCTGCATAGTGAATTCAAAAGCAGCCTGGACTCTATATGAGACCCTGTCTCAGGAAACCAAAACCAGGAGTAAGAGCTGAGACCAAAATTCCATGATACGGAAACAGAACCTCACAGATTCCAACCTGAGCTAAGAACAGCACACAAGTCAGGAGAAAAGTAAATAATTTTTACTTTAAAAGCCTTTCCACCCTCAAACCACTATGGGAAAAAAGCTCAACTTCATCTTTTAAATGTTCTATTCTAAGCATTGATTCCTCCTTATTAAGCAACAGATTTCCTAATTTAAGTTATTGGCATATGTGATAGGATTTTTTGAGGGGGAGGGTGTGATTCTAGAATGACATGTTTCCCAGAGAAACTTGGGGAGCCCAAAAGAGCACAAAGGAAATAAAAACTGCCTCTTGTTCTCACAGGGCCAGGACCTCAGGATGGTTCCAGAGGGGACTGAGCCAAGGTGGCTGGGGGTGGCAGCTGGGAGCCACGATGCCATTGTGACCCACCTCCCCCTCACACAATATGTGGTGACATCTTTCTTGTCAGTAGCTGTTTCACAGCCTGTCGTCTGATTAGCATGCTGTCTGATTAGCACACAGCTCTCTCCACTCAGGAGGTAATCTGAGCAGACGTACCCTTGCTCCAGTTCCTAGAGCATCTTGAAGGTGGCCAACCTCGGGAGCCATCTACAACCCTTGTCTGGGGCCACGAGATGTATGTGGCTACTGTGGGCCCCTAGACCCTCCATACCTTCTCAGTGGGAGAATGTGCCCCTTCATGGGGCAGGGCCACCAATCGGCCTGGTAATTACCACCAACCCTAGCCTGGGCCCAGCTGCAGAGAACAGAAGCAGAGACTCTTGGTTGAAAGGTACTGCCACCTGCTTATGCCCCGGGGCCCTGCCAGCAGCCACCCAGGTGCCCAAAAGGGAGGTGTATGGAGAGCCACAGCCTCTGGTGAGGCAGTGGAAGAAGGGTGCAGCTGAGCTGAACAGGCAGGAAACCAGGTGGTGGCCACACTGGATGACTTCAGTTTCCCTGTCCCTACTCACTGTCCCAAGTCCTGACTGGTTACCTCCTGTCAGGCAGGAGTTGGACATTAGTGGGCTAGGGACCAGGGGGAAGGGATCCAATATGGCCTGCTGAGCCAGCTAATTCACATCTTAGACCCCAAGTGACCCCCCAGTAGCACAGTGACATCTTAATGTTGCATGTGACACACACTCTGATGCCAGGCACCCGGCCACCCACCTCCAGAACAAGGCACACAGCACTCCTGGCTGCCATAGCCCGCAACCCGCAGCCTGAGGGGGTCAGGGAAGATGATGCTCAAGACCCTGCTGCAGGGCTGAACAGATGGCTCAGCGGATTAAAGCGCCTGCTTAGGCAGACACAATGACCAGGGTTCAGTCCCCAGCGTGCCGGTGGCCCCCACCCCCAGGGCTCACTGAAATAGTGATTGAGACTGGGCTTGGTGGCACACACCTATAATCCTAGCACTTGAGGCTAAAAACAGGAGGATCACTATGAGTCTGATCTGTGTAGCAAGACCCTGTAAGACCCTGTATTAAATACATAAAAAAAAAAATTAAAAAAAAGACCCTGCTGCCTGGGCCAGGCCTGGTTGAATTGGAGATCTTAACTTCTGTTTCTCATGTAATAAGCACCCAAGTAATCAGTTGAACAGGACAGAACAACAGTGTACAATTCTGAAGTTCTAAGTGAACTGGGGTCAGAATCATCACCACCCCAGTTCCCTGAGCACCAGGAATGGCTCTCAGCACATAAGGTGTCCAGCCTGGCAGCACCCACCTCCTGCTTGCTGCATATCTGAGCTGGGTTTACTAGCAAGGCCACAGGAGTGGAGGGTTCAATTCTTGACACATCAGAACCATTTCCCAGTGACACCACCAGTCTCCAGGAGACCCACAGCTAGATCAGGGCCAGGCAAGGTAGGCTCGCCCCAGCACAGAGGGGTCCACTGACATAGCTCACAGGGGCGGCCAGGGAGCTTGAGAACCCTGCAGTGGGGTGCACTGCATCCCCTTCCCACAGAAGGGCACCCCTGTCCCTTGAGCAGCTCCTCAAATCCCTCTTCCCATACAGGCTCTTCTTAAACATGCATACTGGTCACTCCTGCTGCCTGTGACTCTCCCTGGCTCCCCACAGCCTAGGGCTCAGCCCTCCCCCACCATAAATCCCAGCGAGCTCACTGGTAACCCCTACACAACCCTGCCCTCAGCATGAGCCAGCTAATTCAGCTAAGCTATTGCAAGATGGCCCCAGGTCCATGCCCCCGCCCCCGAGTTCCCTGGTCCCCAAGACCTCCATCCTTGCACAGCCCCTCACAGGTCATGAGCTATCTCCTGCAGGACAGTGGTACCCAGCATGGCTGATGAAGCAGGAGAGGCGGAGACAAGGTGAGGGAGGAGTTACAGGCTGAACCCTGAATCCTGGCATCTGCCCACACCCATGTGTGAGAAATCAGTGTCTTTATTGATAAATAGGTCGGGGTTTGATAAATAAGTCAGGGTTAAATAGTGCAATATGTTGGAGGGATAAAAACTCCAGCCCAGCCACCCACTGCCCTAGAAGCCTCTAGCTCTTGGGCTCTGAGGATGAGCCCTTGACCAGTGGCTTGGGCCTTCCGGGGCCCCCACCCCTCCTGGCTGGAGACAGAGTCACTGTCCTGGGGCCCCCAACCTTGGGGGCAGTGGTGGCTTTGGAGGCAGTAGTGGCTTTGGTGGCTTTGGGTCTGGATCCTACTGGGGCCTTTGTTGTTGGCTTCCTGCCTGTTGGGGAAGCAGCACGTTTCCTGGCCTAGGAGAGAGAAAGCCAGCTGGGGAAGCAGGCACCCAGCACCAGTTCCTCAGCTGTAGAGTGGGGTGATGAAGCCCCACCCCAGGGAAAGTGAGCTGATTTATGCTCCATGGAGGACATGTACTCCATGTACCCTGGCAGATGCCTCTGGGTTGGGGGTGACTGCCGGTACCCCACAGCTTGCTGGGATAGAGAAGGGGGAGCCTACCTTGGGCACCGTGGCTGCAGTTTTCCCAGGGGCCCTTGTGTCACCTGGAAGGCAGAAAGGACTCATGTGGCTGGCAGGTGGAGGGGTCTGGAGCCCCAGTTCTCCCCTCCAGAAGTCCTCCCTGATCTGCTATGGGACCAATGAGCACTGTTCTCCCCAGTATGGGGGCCTCTGCTTCCCCTCCTTCCACCAGCTCACAGTCATCTCCTCAGGACAGGAACCCCAACTGTCCCCCCAAACAGCTGGGCCCAGCTATACACCCACCTTGCCTGCCCTGGCTGCCTGGGACCTTTGGCTTCCCACTGAGTCTGTGGACAGTTGAGGGGGGCCCAGCTGGCTTTGGGGGGTCCTTCCTGGCCACACCCTGCTGTGACCCAGTGCCCTTTGCCTTGCAGCCTCCCTGGGGGGCGGTCTCCAGGGCCTTGGCTGGTCTCTGGGGAGCCTTTGCCTCATTTGGCTCGGCAGCCCTCTTCTTGCTGGAGCTGGCAGGCACTGTCTGGTTGGGCTTCCTGCTGCGCCGTGGCTTCTTCTGGTGCTTGGGAACAAGCTGGAAGATGACAGTGTGGAGAGTGACTGAGGGAGCACAGGTCCTTGGTGCCTCTGTACCACAAGAGAAGGCTACTTGGACACCTAACTCCTTCCCTTTTCCAGGGATGACATCTTGATTCTACCCCTTTATCCCACAGAACACAGCTCACCTGCTGCACCCTGGCCGAAGTCTCCCCATCCATGCAGGGGATCATCACAGAGGCAATGGATAGCTCAGTGGGAGGTGGGGGTTCCTGGTCCTCAAGACCCACCCCAAACACTGCTACTCCCTCTCATCTTGACAACCATCACCCAGCATGACCAGAAATTCATGTGCAGCCAACACCAGCTGGTCTCACCCTACCATATTCACTTGGGGACCCCAGGTCACCCAGAAATTACAGGGGCCGAGACCGCTGAAGTTACCAGCACACTGCGGTGAGATTCTGTCCCATTGCATTATCTAATCTGAGCGACTCTGAACAGGTCCCTGCTTGGAACATTATCACCGGAATGGGACAGGGAGGACAGGTACTCAGAGAGGGGACAACCCTCACCCTGGGAACAGAGCCTGGAGCCCAGAGAGCGTCCTGCAGCGGTGAGGCACTGGGACCCAGAGCCAACACGGCACAGATATCCAGGGCTTGCAGAGACACCACAAGGACTGGGACAGATGGGCAGAGACAGAGGCCCTCACAGGAGCCCTGCCAAGATCCAGAGAGGATGGGGTGGCACTGCCCTCCCCCAAGCTTACCTTGAAGCTGCCAGTAGCGCCCCTGGCTTTGGAGTTGAGGGGCCTGGCAAGGAGGCCACGGCTCATGCCAGTGGCCAGAGCCTGCTTCAGCAGGTACTTGAGGCGAGTGATGTCAACTGTGGGGTATTTGTGCAGGATGTAGAGCTTGATGGCCGCCACCGAGGTGCCACGGCGCTGCTCCCCTGCCTGCAGGGCCTCTAGCACCATACGCAGCACTGTGGGGTGGCGGCGGGCCACCATGATCCTGCTGGAGCTCAGGCCTGCAGGGGACAGTAGGGCATCACCCAAATCCTTGGACCAGACACAATATGCACAAGGGGCTGGTGCGGCCATGGGGTACAGGGAGTGCGACACGGCCGCCATTACCCGCAGCTTCAGACTTTGTCTTATGGTTGAAAAATGTGTTTAAGTTTTTAAAAATTACAGTGAAAGACACTGCCCCAAGTCTCCCTCAAAATCTTCCCCTCACTTTATGTGCAACGATCCCACCATCCTTGCCACTTTCTGATGCAGCTCTGGAGTTCTTTCCTAAGTGTCTTCACAAGGTGTGATCAAAAATACGGTGAATGCTGCTGCTGAGTGCCATCCAATGGGGAGGTCAGCTTGTAAACATACCGCTGTGTCCTTATTCTCTAGATCTGGTGACTTCTCGCTCTTCCCCAAAGTCACAATGACCAGGACAGGGAACGTTTTGATCAAATCAGGACATTGAGGAAGCCAGGATAGTGCAACTAAAGATACTCATGAAAGAGGACCCTAGAGCTGCCGCGGAAAGTGGCCAGGGGGAGCCAGCCAGACGGCTCAGCAGACTAAAGCTGCCTGCTCAGGCAGAGGGAAGTGGCCAGGGTTCAATCCCTCGCACGCAGCGGGGTGCAGAGATGGCCATTGAGACTGGGCGTAGTCGTGCGTGCCTGTAATCCCAGCACTTGGGAGGCTGAAAACAGGAGAATCACTAAGAGTCCAAGCTGCATAGCGAGACCCTGTACCCTCTGTAGACTCTGTACCAAATACAGAAAGAAAAAAAAATGGCTAGGGATGAGAATAGTGTGATGGTGTGTTGAAAGTTAGAGTGAGAATTTTGAGGTCAAGGTCTTTAACTATGATACATTCTTTAAAAAATTTAAGCGTTTACCATAGTTTTCAATTATACGTGGTATTGTTTTAGGAAAAAAACTAAGTCAGTAATTAGACCTGACTGGCATTTAGGATGCTATGGGCTCTAAAAGGCAGGCATAGCGATGTCCATAGGACCAGACCAGGGAACTCTGCAGGGCACACAGTGCACAAACACCCAGCGTAGGACATCAGGCACCTGTTTGTGGGAGATCTTAGGAGACACAGCCAAATGTGGCAGTTCATAGCTGCGCTATTCCTAACAGCTGAAAAGTAGAAGCAACCCAAATATCCACAAATGAAAGACAAATAGATAATGAACATAGTGTGACACAGCATACTAAGGAACATTACTTCAGCCATGAAGTCCTGGAAGACGCTAGGAGAAGGTGGACCCTGAAAACACACCTGGTAAGAATCAGGCACAGAGCCCCATGGGATCCGTGTCTGTGTTCACAGGAAGCACCCAGCAGGGAAAACTAGGGACACAGCAGATCTGTGACTGCCAGGCTGGGTGAAAGTGACTGCAAAGGGATGCCTTTTGAAAAAATGAAAATGTTCTGGACCCAACTATGGAGGTGACACACACTCTGCGAGGGCCAGTGAAGGCTGATCAGGTAACTCATATGGGAGCAGGCTGTTTCCTAGGAAGTGGCAGGTTCAGAGGGCAGGGAGGGACCAGTGACATGTGTCACATGGCTTGTGACAGAAACAATACAGGAAGAAATATGGGGCTGGGAATGTTGAGTTCTGGTCTGTCTTAAAATTTAGGCTCAGGGGCATGGTGGTACACACTTGTAATCCCAGCCTGAGGTGGCTGAGGCAAGAGAATCACTTCAAGTTTGAGGCTAACCTGGGCTACATAGTGAATTCAAGGCCATTCAGGACTATAGAGCAAGCCTGTCTCAAAAAAACAGCAAAAAAAGCTTTTTAAAAGGACTCAACCAGCTGCTCTATATTAAAGTGGTTTTCTTTTTTTTTTTTTTTTTTTTTTTGGTGCTGGGTACTGAATTTGGGACTTTGCACTTGCCAGGCAGGTGCTATACCACTGAGTTAGATCCCCAGGCCCTAAAGTACTATTTTAAATTTTGAAACTGCCTAGAGAAAAATCATTCAGAGACTTCATGCAACTCATCCCTGTAGCTTCTGCCAGTCAGAGCCCAGGGGTGGGCTATGCCCTTCTCTAGATCTCTGAGTCCCCCAGCTGTGGGCTCTCAAGAATTCTGGGCCTGATCTCAGGCAGCATCCCTACCCCTCTCTCACTCCTCCTCTGTGTGCTCTCCTCTTAGAAGCCCCTCCAGGCCCCTGAGCTCCAGAGGTCCAGGGCTCCCTCAGACCTGCCTCCTACCTCTCCTAGGAACGAGGTACCCCACTCTCTCGGCCACCCAGCGTCTCCAGGCCTCTCCAGCAGCAGCTGCTTCTGCCCCTACACTATTCGCCCCCTCCCCACCCCGTGTGAGCCTTCTGTGGTGCCACTGGCCTTCAGTAGAAAAGATGCCCCCTGTAGCTCTGCCCTCAAGAAGGAAGCCTATAGCTCCTAAATGCGCAGCAGCCTCTCCCTGTGGCTTTTGCTGTTTCCTGGCCCTGTTGCATCCCCCTGCAGGACTCCCCTAGGCCTTGTGCCAGGGACTCAGGGCAGGCTGACCCTGAGATGCTGCTGACTGAGGGAGATGGCTGGCACCTGCACCCAGGCTTCACCAGGCCCTCTTTGGCTGGTCCCTTCCACCAAGTGGGCATCTGTGTGCACCGGGCCCAGGTGGGGGAGGAGACAGCATGGAGGGGTATAGGGATAGGGCTGCAGGAATGGAGGTGCAAAGGTGGGATCACAGGATGGGGGTGCCCCCTGCTCACCTGGCTTTCCATACCCAGAAGCCTCTGCTGACCCCACTGTGGAAGAGGGCAAGGAAGAGCCGTTGGCTATGCTCCCGGGAGCCATCTGAAGGTCAGCTGCATTCACATGGGAAGCCCCACCAACCCACCCATTTTTTGTACCTACGCCAGCCCCTCCCTCCAATCAGCCCAGATTGGTGTCCGGCACGTTCCCAGAAGGAGGCCGGAAGGTTAGGATTGGGGTCTTGACTCCAGTACGGCCACCTGCTCTGAGCCAACACAGGTGAGCTGCTGTTCCCTGGGCCTTACACACCTTGAATCAATGAATGCTCAAGTGCTTGGTCCCTCCAACGCCCTGCCCGCCACGGGCTGGAGCAGTTGCCAGGAAATTGAGGGCACCTGGGGGGCCATGTAGCGCGGGACTCCTCCAGGAGTAGCCTCTACCCATCCTCCTCAAGGAGGAGCAGCTGAGGAGGCCAGGGAACGCATTATGAGGTCAGAAGAACCTACCATGAGGTCACAGGACCACAGTTGCGTGGAGGGATGCAGCGCGGTAAGCAGGACGAGACTGTGTTTTACACTCACAGAATGACAAGCATTTCAGTGTCTGTCAGTGCTGACTGTCAGGGCTGTGTCAAAATAGCCAGGAGGGAGCAGGTGGCTGCCACTGCAAGCCATGTGGCAATGCCCAGCCACTCTCGATTGCCCATCCTTCCACCCACTCTGGGAGAAGCCCAGGGTCTCCCACCGACAAATGATACCGGCACAGCAACCCAAATGCCTGTCAAATGGGGCAGGACAGACCAGCTGTGGGCTGGTCACACAATGGAACTGTATACAGCTGTGAAGATGATGCCCCAGAATGCAGCAGTTAAGCACAACCCATTCCCAGAGGAAAAGTTCACGCGTGTGTGAAGCCACAGAGGACCTGAAGGATTCATGTCAGAGAAGCAGCAGAGTCACTCTGGAGAGGAGGTACTGTACTTGGGGATAATTAAAGACACATCTTTCCTCTTTCTCTCTATTGCTGGGATGATCCCTGAAGACTTCATTCCCACAGCTCTGGTGGCCCTCAGTGTCCCAACAAGAAGTCAGACCTCCTTTCCCAGCCCATCACCCTGCACGCTGCCCTGTGTTCTTGGTAAAGTATGAGCCATGCAGCTGGCCTTACAGAGCCTCCTCCACCCTGGAGCTCCACGGAGCAACTGTGCGGAGTTTCCGGCTGGCTATGTGCTGGTGCCAGGCATGTCCCCTTGTGCTTTCCAAGTGTGTTAAATCAGTGTAAAAATAGTCCCAGCTTTGCACCCCAGCCCACATCCAGACCCATGTGCAACCAGAGCTGCTCCACCATCCTTACCCCCTTCGGACCCACACCCCAGGCCTTCCCTGATGCTTCCTTAGAGAAGCCTTCCCTGAACCCTACAAGGTTAGGGGTCCCTCCTAAGGAGAATGCAGTTCCTGGACTGCTTCCCAGAAACCTCCAGCACCCCACTTTACTGCTCTGCCTTTCCTGTCCCTTGCCCTCAAGAGAGCTGTCTTTTTCCAGGTGGTATCTCCAGTGCCAGGCATACAGTAGACACTCAATTGCTCTGCAGCTGTGAAGTCTGGAGCTAGATCCTAGCCTGGGTGAGTGGAGGGGAGCCTGGAAACTGCCACTTGCCCCTCAAGGAGCAGGAGATGGCCAAAGCAAAGAGGCAAATAGAAGTTGGCGCGCATAGGGCAGCAATTTTGATAGCATTGGTGGGGCGTTTCCAAGAACTGAGAAACAGAAACACTCTGTGATGTAAACATTCCCACGAACGTCAGCCGAAGCCCTACTCCCAGCCTGTGCCAGGATTGAGTTTTGCATTCAGAGGGAAGCAGTTCTAAAATGTGCTGCATGATCTAAAAATTCCTTGGGGTTTGCCACTTTGCTGAGAAATGCTGATGGCAGGCACTGGGCCCGGGCTGTGGCCTCCCCTCCTTTCTCCTGAAGCTGAGGTGGGCAACCTCCCCATTCTTATTGCTTGGAATATCCCTGGCCCCACCTGGGGCAAAGGTCATACTTCTGAACCTCTGAGGCTGCCACAGGCATCTGCTCTGTATAACTCCTGCCCCCTCACACCAGGACGTGTGTGACGGCTGAAACAGTGCCTATTGCCAACTTACGTTCACGTGCGTGTGAAGTCGCCCTGCCCACAGCATGGGAGCTAGTGCTGATCGTTAAGGCGCAACTCCAAAACAGCAACGTCTTAAGCAAGAAGCCAGGGGGCCATGACTCTGTGAAGTAGTGGGAAGTTGTGGGGCAGCGGGGGGAATGAGGGTGTCTCTCAGACTTTGCCATTCTCTGTTCTCAGACTCTTGAGATATAACACACTTGCCACATCTCCAGCCAACGCTTTGACATTCAGCCAGTAGACAGTGGAGGGCACCCCCTTCTCTGAAATGCGCACCCCAGAGGCTGTCCACATCTATCTTGACACCTCAGTGATCAGATCTTTCGAGTCAGGTCCCCACAGGTGAAGGGAAGCTGTGGCAGATGTGCTCCTGCGTACTAGACAGCTAGGTGCCCCATGGGAAACTGCTGGAAAGGAAAGAGTGGGGTGTGGTGGCAGACAGCCCTTGCTTCCCCTTCCTGAGTTCCAATTCCCATCTACCTGCTCATCTCCTTGCCAGGGTTCCGTCCTGCATACCATTTATGCCTCCTTGAAGACTCATTTATTGATCACCTAATGTGTGCAGATCCTCTACATGGAGTCTCCTTTGTCCCCCGGAATAAGCTGATCCCCTCTTTCCAGCTGGGGGGCTAGAGGCCTACAGTGGGCTAGAGGCCTACAGCAGAGCTTTGTGCCGTGCTTTCTCCTTGGGGCACCTCAGGTGGTGAGAGACTCTCGACTGTGAGGCGGTCCAGGTCCTCAGTTCCATCCAGAGTCCCCTGCACATGCTGGCCTAGGTGTGGCTTCCGGAGGCCCACTGGGTTGTATATAGTAGGTGTCTCATAGACCTGTTGGCTGCCTGTGTAGTGACAAAGGGACCCCTTCCTAAGCTGCCATTGGCAGGTATGTGTATATAATGGTCAGGGTTGTCAGGTCACCATCCAATGTAGAAGAACTCTAAGGTCGCTTTCCCTGGGCATGTGAAGCTGTAGACACTGCTCCTCAAGAGCAATGAACTGGGGCTGAATTCCCAAGACAATGCAGGACTGATCAGCCCAAATATGACTGTCTCACCACCACCATCCAGCCGACACAGCCTGTGGAACAGAGGATAAGAGCAAGCACTCTTTTTTCTCACATCCTAGAGTAGCCCCAGGTCTAGCTGGACTCTGGGCCTTACAGACTTCCTCTAGGCTTATGGCAGGAATCTGTGTCCCCACACAGCAGACCACTGGACTTATGTGATTTGAGTCTATTTGGAGCTCATATTATGATCAAGTGACTCAGACCTGGCCAATAACAGGATGAATCCCAGTCCAGGCTTGGGGTGGGGGGGAACCCTCAAGGGTGATCACATGACCTGAGCCTGGCCAATCAGAGCCCTATGTGCAACTTTTGGTTGTACTAAGGGGAAGGAGATGCCCACTTGTTGAGCCTGGAACCAGGATGGCCATTTCTGCCACCTCATGGGAAGAGTTGGCCTATGAATGAAGCCAACATGGAAAAGTGTAGTTAAAAGGGGAGAGACAGAGCTGCTCATGTCATGTGCCTGCAGCCCTGGCCTTTGCTTTTCTATGAGAGAATGATGGTACCCTTTCCCTTTTGCCCACCTGAATTGCATTTCCCATGGTTCCCACCGAATGTGTCCTGACTGCTACCACCCAGGTAGATGGGGAAGAGGGGCAGGTCTTCTGCCACTATCAAGGTCTCTGCCACTATCTGTTCCAGTCTGCTGTGGCTGCAAGGCCTTGATCTTGGTGAGCAGCTTCTGCCCCCTGTCACCCAGGAGGACAGGGCACTCTGAGCCACTGTGTCTCTCCATCCCTTCCCCTGGGGTCCAGGAAGGCCAGCTCTGATCCTGGAGACTTTAGAGTCTCTCACCAACTGCCCACCCAGAGTGAAGTCCCAGCTTTGCTAATCCCTTATGATCAGATTCAGGGAAGCTTGCTACAGTTTCACAGGTTCCAGCATCTCTGCAACTCCCAGGTGAGATATCCCCCTTCCAGGGTCCTCCCCACTCCACAACAACACTGGGCAGCAGCCAGACCACCTAGTGCTGGTTTTCAGGTGGGAGCTGCCAGTACTAGTCCATCCTGTGGGTGAAGAGGCTGAGTGAAAGAAACCACCGCCGCAGACAGTAGGACCGAGCTGAGCTTTTAATGCCCCATGGACCTCAGCCTCCAGGCTCCGGCAGCAACTGAGATGGCTTGATTCTGACCCCAGTTGCAGGCTTCAGAGCAGACTGCAGGAGGGGAACAGGCTGGGGCTGCTGAACATGAGCTGGTCCCACAAGGGGGCTGGAAACCAGGACCCAGGAGCTCCTGGGAATGGCTCAGTCAGATGACCCTGGTACCTAAACTTCCCAAGATGGGTGACATCAGGAATTCAGCTCTTCATTACATTTGTACAGGTGGTTGTGGCCCAGGTGCCAAGGAGGAACAGCAGGTGGCTTCCAGATACTCAGGGACAAGTCTGGCTTCCGCAGGCTCTGAGCTGCTTTCTCTGGTCTGCTGGCTGCACCCTACATCCCTGAAATAGTCTCCCCTGCCACCTATCTTGCGGCCCAGGCTGATTTTGAAAATCCGCAGTGACACAGGTAAAGTCCCTTTGTCTGATCCTCAAGTAGTGACTGTCAAACAGAGATGACTCTCATAATTCACTAATTGTATTGATTGATATTTTTCATAATGCAGACTGCAATCTGTACAGCTCCTTACTATTTACAAAGTGCTTAAACACACATGCATACATGCACACAAGCACGCACAACCGCATGAACATGCACACCATCTCATTTGGTCTTTGTAGCAGTTTAGTGTTGTCATGGGCAAGCTTTGGGGTCCCATGTCATGGTGGAGAACCACGATGTGCCATGATGTCTGAGAGGATGTATGTGTCCTCCTATCCATTCACCCTTCATGCATTCCTCCATTCATCCTTCACCCATTCCTTCCTTCATCCAGCTAGCATTTATTAAGCACCTACTGTGTGCCCATTGTGTGCTAGATGCTTAGCCCTAAGTGGGGGCACTTTTCCAGAAAGCAAGAGTTCTTGCATTCCCATGACAAGCTGGGGGAGGGGTACAGACCCCTGGGAGCTGGGGACTCCAGATTGGGGACCGTGTGGGTGCCCTTTCTCAGGCTGTCCGCATGGAATGGGAAGCCTTATTTTTATCTCATTGATTATTTAAAAAGAAAGTCAGGGGCATTCATGGCCACATTGTGGCAGGTGTGCTCTTGGTGGGGTGGCTGTGGGAGTGGGGGGTCCTACAGTTGGCTGCAGGGGTCCCAGTAGGGCTTAGGCTGGGGCCACCTGGCTGGTCTCAGTCTTGGAGGCGGTGGTGGAGGCTTCATCGTCACCCAGTGGGTTCTTGCCACAGCAGATGGTAGTGAGCATGCAGTTCCGGAACTGGAAGGCAACGGTTGGGTCAGTGTGGGGCTGTGTAATTTTTTCATTTAATTCCAGAGTTTAGAGTTTTGTCCTTTTTGGGAAAGAGGAAACTGAGGCCCACATCAGGAAATTAACTTGCCCAATGCTGCCCAGCTAGAAGATGGTGGAGGCAGTTTTGTAACCCAGCATGCCTGTGCCCCTGGAGGAACCCTGGCCTCAGTAAGGGCAACTCCACCCTCCAGGCTTTATAGCTGAGGCTATCCCCTTCCCAAGCTCAGGACTGATTGGTTTTCCAGGCTGGCTTCCAAAGAAATCAGAGCTGGTGCCTGTCACACTGATCAATACCAGGGTGACCCTGAGGGCTTGTGAGAAACAGTGCCCTGGGTCCAGATGAGATTCAGATGCAGCAGCCCAAGATGGGGCCCAGGCATCAGCATGAACCTGAGCCCCTACCTCTGTCACCCTTGGGACCCATTCCCTGGGGCCCCATGCCAGGCACCTGCTTGTTCATCATGATATAGATGACAGGGTTGTAGATGGAGGAGCTCTTGGCAAAGAATGCTGGGATGGTCATGAAGATGGGGCCAAAGTTGGAGCCCTGGTGGGTGAAGATGTACATGGCCACACTGGCATAGGGTACCCAGCAGATCAGGAAGGCGATGACCATGATGATGACCATGCGGGTGACCTCCTTCTCTGCCTTTTGGGTGGTAGCTGACTCCTGCTGCTGTGCAGCTGCCTGTGGGGACATGGGTCCTGTGTCTAGATGGTAGCACCCAGCACTGTCACCCAGCACTGTTGCTCAGCACCCACCCAGACACCTCCCAAAGTCTCCCCCCAGCACCCATCCACACCTCTTTGACAGTGAAGACCAGCTGCCCATAGCAGAAGAAGATGACAATCATGGGGGTAGTGAAGTGGACCACGAACATGTAGATGACGAAGGACTCATTGTTGACCTCAGGCGAGAGTGTGTAGTAGTCAATCCCACACGAGCACTGCATGCCTTCAGGGATATACCTGGAGACCACACCCATAAATGCCCAGTCCCAGGGGTTCCAAAGACTATGTATGTTCCCCAACATTGTGCCAGCCCTCAGCCATCCTTGCCACCTAACCTGGCAGCCAAGGCCATAAGGGCAGGGGGCAAGAGATGGACATGTACCACGCCAGGTCTCCAAGTCACAGGGTAAAAATATTTTCCAGGCCAAAGATGGATACAGGATACACTTAGAAGGGGTCTTTGAGTAGTTCCCTGGAACACGAGGTCCAGGGACATGTGGTCAGGGTGTTTCAATAACTCCTGAGGATGGGAACCAAGGTCACTTGATCTCCACTAGCCCAGAGCAGCCACGGACTATACCTTCAGGACTCCTGGGCCAGGATGGTGAAGACAGGGAGAAAGGGTAAGAAAGGACCCTGAGGTAATGTGGAGGGAGGCAAGCAGAAACATGAGTTTTTGGAATAGAGGACCACAGCCCCTTTGCAGGCAGTGGCCCAGAAGCTGGGGGACCCTGTTCCTGGGGTCCATGTCACCCTGTGAGGTGAATTGCTGTGGCCCAAGGTCAGCACAGGATGGACAAAGAGGATTGGCTGCAGCCCTGGCTTAGCTAAGGATTAGGGGCTCAGCCAAGGTGAAGAATTGGGGGATCTGGGAGTCTCCTTGACATAGGGCTTGGGAGGGGAACCAGCACTCTAGTATCTGTCCTGGTGGCTTTGGGGACAGCATTACCTGGACCAGCCAGCAAGGGGTGGTACAGCGCAGGCCAATGCCATGACCCAGGTGAAGATAACACCCATGATGGCATGGTTCTCGCCAAAGCGGAAGTTACTCATGGGCTTGCACACAACCACGTAGCGCTCAATGGCCAGCACCACCAGGGACCACAGGGCGATTTCACCTGCAACAACAGCAGCTGTCAGCCTACTGCCACCCATGGGCCCAAGTGGATTTGGTGCCAACAGGAGGCTTTACGGGCATGGGGTTTGCAGGGGGACCCATAGCACGGAGTGACACTCTCCCAGGTGACAGCCTCAGAGACCTGCATGCATGACACCCAAATAATCCTCTCGGAAGGGACGCTGTCAACACATACCCCAGCCTGGGGTTGGCCCTTCAGGGCCCAGCTATGTGGCGGACTGAATCTGTGACCTCATGGCTGCATCCGAGACACTTGGCTGGCACTGTGCTCCCACCCAGCACCTCCTCTGCCACCCCTGTCCTCCCATGGTTGGGAGAGTGCCTGGATCTGCATTAGAGGACACTGGTCCCTGCCCAGCCAGACCCTTAATGTCTCCTGCCTCCTCCCTGCCTCAGTTTTCTCACCCTCCGAGTAAGCACCACCATCTGTTTTCCAAGTGGCCTTTGGAAGCTAGGAGTCCCAAGTCTAATGTGCTGGGGAAAGGTGTTGCTGTGGAGGGGGTGACGTCCTTGACACAAAGACCATTCAAGGGTGGCAGTGAGCCTGGGAAGGGGACTGAGCTCACAGCCCCATGACTGACAGTAGATGCTCCTGGACCAAGCAAGGACATTATTGGAGTGGCAACAGGGTCTGTCTCTGCTTGCTCTGTCCCCAGGCAGCCAACTAGAACATGGGCTTAGACTCAGCTCTGGTCATTCTCCCTATGGGCCAGGAGGCCCTGACTGCCCTGAGCCCCAGGTTCCTTGGTATAAAATTCAACAGAGCGGTGGAGAACACCTGTAATCCCAGCACTTGAGAGGCTGAGACATGAGTATTGCCACAAGTTTGAGGTCAGGCTGGGCCACACAGTGACAGTTTCTAAAAACCAAGCCAAACCCCAAAATTAAATAGAAACCTGCTTGATGGGAGTTATAAGCAGGGCTACCTGCCCTCCACAAGCAGAAGCCTGCTTCAGCATAACAAAACATTTGTTGGTCGGATAAGTAGGTCCTCTGGCTAATGACAAGAGGATTGATGGGAAGCCTCCATTCTCGTCCAATGCCCACCACGCTCCCTGGGGCTCCCCATCCAACACCCACACCTACCACCCAGAGTGGCGAAAAAGCCCTCCATGTTGCAGCCTGCGGGCCCGAAGACGAAGTATCCATGCAGGGAGGTGTAGAGAGTGGTAGTGAAGCCACCGAAGACCATGAAGAGGTCAGCCACAGCCAGGTTGAGCAGGACGTAGTTGAGCGGTGTGCGCAGCTTCTTGTGTTGCACAGTGACATAGAGCGTGAGGAAGTTGATGGGGAAGCCCAGCACGATGAGCAGGAACATGTAGGCGGCCAGCATAGAGAACTGCCAGGGCTCAGCCAGGTAGTACTGCGGGTACTCGAAGGGGCTGCGCACCACACCTGTGGCGTTGGAGAAGGGCACGTAGAAGTTGGGGCCCTCTGTGCCGTTCATGGCTGCTGTCTGGTCTGCCCTGTGGGTGCAGCGGTTCCACCTGAGGAGGAGGATAGCACAACCTGTGCAGCTTGGGGCTCCTGGGAAGACTTGTGGCCCTGCCCCCCCCCCAGGCCCTTATGAATTGACCTTCTGGGCCTAAGCCACGCTGACTCAGCCTGCGGGAGATCGGGGCATAATCATACTAATCCCATGCTGCCACAGGGGCCTAATTGGCTTGTAGGGGGACAAGGTGACACCATGGGGACGGATGGATACCCAGGTGGGGAGGGGGCCCCGTGAGATCCTGGATGGGAAGGGAGGAGGCTTCCCTTCTGTCCCAGGCCCCCCAAATTCCTGCCTATCTCCATGTGTCATGAGCTGGCCTCTGGCCTCATCTCTGGCCTCAGCCCAGTGATGATAATGAATTCACTCCTTCAGGCTGTCACTAAGCACTGATGCTGTCCCTGGGCCATTGAGATGGGAAGGAGGAGAACGCTGCCTAAGGTGGATGTGGCTGTAGGGACCGAGCTGCCTGCTTGGGAGTCCTGAGAGCCACAGGGGGACAAGGTTGAGGCTGTGGGAATGGCCATACAGCCTGCTGCATCCAGGGGAACAGAGTCTCAGGCTCAAGTGCCCCAAGAGCAGGTGGGAGAGACCTCAGGTGTCTTAGGCTCCTGAGCAACCTGGCCCTTGGTTGGGGACTCCATTTGTGGGGAAGCCAACTCTGAAATGAATAGCAGGTGTGAGCTAGGGATACACATGAGCTCTGAGTCTCTGCTACATCCCAGACAGTGGCACTTGGTAAGAAAGTCTATGACAGGCACTCGACACCTGGGATGAAGGGGCAAACTGGAGAGGCTGTGGGGGCTTCAGGGACCTTGGTCCAGCCAAGATGTGCACGGAACTTCTGCAGAGTACCAGATAAGGGGCTTGATGCTGGAGACACCCAGGGAAGGTGGGTGACAGGAGTTACAAGCCAGGGATGAGCTTGGAAACATAACCTGGAGCTGCCAGAAGGCCAAGAACTGAGCCAGAGCGCCAGCCATGCAAAGGTTCTGAGGTAGGGACAGAAGCCCAGACAGGGAGGTCTCTACAGCTGGGCCATAAGCTCTGTCTTCTCTGAAGCCCCCGTTTTCTCAGCCCTTGTCCTTCCCAGAATTCTCAGGGTCTCACAGGGCTTGGCCACCAAGAGCCGAGGGCACTATGGGCTGGAGGCGGCCTCTGGCTGTTAAGGTGCTTGGCTGGCTATTAGGCCTACGTTAATGAGGTCAAGGTGGAGCGTGGCTGACGCAGACACCCACCCATGGGGCGGGCTGCCCTAGCACACCTGGGTGTAGCCTGGCGCTTTCGCAGCTCCAGCGTATGCTGCTGGCTCAGGAGCAGCCCTGACTCCAGCCCAGTGCCCAACACATAGGGCAGCAGGGGAGCTAGGTTTCATCCATTCTATTCCTACCCAGGGCAGAGCAGGAACTCTGGGAAAGTTTGTTGAATGAACAAGTGGACAGCTGGGCCCGAGTGATTTTGGGAAGCCTGGAACCCTATTCTGAGTTCCCCTTGGTGATCCTTTAACCAGTCCCAGCCTTGCCGGGCTGTAGCGATGGATGTGATGGCATCCTGCATTCTGTGAACATGACAGTGTCTTCAGAAGAGTTCTGTAAGATAACCTAGGAGGGGCTGAGGACAGGCAGGTGCCAACCTTGCCCATGTTCCTGATGCTTCCATTCTGCAGCTGGAGAAACAGAGTCAGCAGCCATCTGGCTCACATGACCAGTCTGTGGTGGTCTGGGCTGCAGCCATGTGGCTTCATGAGGGATCTGACAGCTCCTCCCTCACCTGTCAGAGCTAGCACCCAGGGAAGATGTGCTGCCCTTCACACCCTGGTATAAGTGACTGGAGCCCAGCTGCACTGAGCTGGTGAGAAGATGCTAAACTGAGCCACACAGGTTGGGGGCACAATAGTGCCCCCAGAGAGGGCTGTTTCAAGATGAACCCCTCAGCCATCCTACTTTCACTCTATCACACTTTTGAGTGACCGTTTGCTCATCTCAGGGATTCTTGCCACCAGGGCGGCGCCCCGGTGTTCCCTCTCCATAGGCCCACCTCTCTGCTCGTTACATGTGCTGTGGCTTGTTTGTCTTCCAACAGCAGGGCGTGGGCATGGTCCCGTGCACTCATGTGCATGACCACACCACACCTGGGCTGGAGTGGTTTCCTGAGTCCTGACCCTTGTCAAGGGTGACAGGTGCTAGGGGAGAAATGTCCACGGAGCGTTGAGTCACTGGAGCTCAAGAGCTCCCGGGCTTCTGGATCAGCAGCCCCTCATCCCTTTTATTCCCCTCCTCTGCCTTGGTCTGGCTTTGGTGTCATGGTGGGTAGGTGGCCGCCTAGATGGGCTCTTGCCTGCCCAGCTAGGTCCTTTTCCTCACTGCTCAGCCCCAAGGCTGGGGGGCATCTGACACCTGCCTGCCAGTGCCACAGCAAGGGCCTTTTCCCTTCAGCAGCCTTGCTGGGAGAGATGACTGACCCAGGGACACGAGGCCAGCTGAGGCGCTGCCTGTGCCAGGCCTGGCCTTCGTCTCTCGTTGGAGTCAGGTCCCACTCCTCATGGCTCCCTCTGTTGTGGGGGGCAGGGATGGAGGGGGTCCTGGTTACAGTGGGGAAAGCCAGTGAGGATGGGACAAGGTCCTGACCTGCTAGGTGGAGTCTGCACTGTGAAGCCTGAGAATTGTGGCCTTGCCCCTCAGCCAGGGAGGCCTCAGTGCTCAGCTTCTGTCTGTGCCACCCATGGCCAAAGGGCACTGTGCCTGGCCGCCACCGTGGGGACCAAGGCCCATCTACTCTGTCACCATGATTGACGCCTGTTGGGAGGCTGAGCTGTTTTCTCCGTGCCCCTCTTTCCCTGCCAAATGCAAATGATTTCAGTTCAAGAAACGCGCTAATGGAAATCCTAACACATTAATAACTGTTTAGTGGGAGAGAGCATGCATGATCGTCAGTAATTAGGCACTCAGCGGAGGAGTTCTGTTGGCACAACTGTCTGGCTCGCTTCTCCATCATCCTGTTGTCTCCATGGAGACAGTGGGAGGAGCACGCCAGGGGTGTGGTCTGTTTCACCCCATAATCCATCAGGGGTCCTCGAGTAGGGTTGGGCAGGTGCGGCAGGGCAGTGGCCCACTCTAGAACTGAGGTGGAGCTGAGACAACACAGAAGCCCCAGCAGGTGTGAAGTCCCCAGGTCCCCACTGGCCACCCTTCCTGTGCCCATGGGCCTCAGCAGCTGGAGACCTGCAAGGCTTTCTGGTGTGTCTTTTTTATTATTTTTTTGTGGTACTAGGGATTGAACTCAGGACCTTGAGCTTGCCAGGCAAGCACTTATTCTACTGAGCTATCTCCCCAGCCCCAGTGTGTCTTTTTAAAAACAAGGTCTCATTATATACTTCAGGTTGGCCTTGAACTCACTATGTAGCCCATGCTGGTCAAACTCATGGAGGCCCTGCTGCTTCAGCCTCTCGAATGCTGGGATTATAGGGTGTACCACCATGCCTGGCTCTCTGGAGCAGGTATCTTATTGTCTTGTCCAGACAGCACCCCATCAAACCAAAGTAAATAAACAATGAAAACTCCATGGTCCCTTACACCTCCCAGGCTGCGGTTTCAATTAGATTAAATTTTAAGAGCACACAAATGCAATGTTCCTCTCGGCTCAAATTAGAAACAGGTGCACTGTGCACAAGGAAATCAAGTTGCAGACAATATGAAGATGTTAAAACGCAGACGCTGAGGAAAATAAGTAGCCCTTTATTTCATCATTGTGGCAATCTGGAGTGGAGTGCAGGCCATGGCCTGGGATCCACGCACTCCAGCCGGCCGCTGCAAGTAACTTGAGCCACTTGGAAAGATTTTTCTTAGAAAATAGCTGTGTGTTCTCTTCCCAGCTCAGGGTGTGACACACCAGCAGGAAAGGCCATAAACAGGACTCTGTGCTCCACCAGGCCTGCCCAGGACAGCCTTCATGGCTGGCTCTGGCAATCTCTCAGCCCTGGGTCTTCGGTGCGCCGGCGGCAGTAGGGGCAGCAGCGGTGCTGGAGTACCAACAGCTCGTAGTCCTCAGTGTGGAACATCTGCCCAGGGACAGGTGGCACCAAGGCCTGAGGCTGGGCACTGGGTCTTCCCGACACCCCATGGGACCCCAGGGCCCCAGGGCAGGCAGGTACCTGGAAGCAGGAGGGGCACATGGTGACAGCAACGTCAGGCAGCAGCGAGCGGAAGTACTGCCAGTGCAGGGGTGGGGGCCAGCGCTTGATGAGGACGTCGCGGCGGCTCATGAAACGCAGCACTGCACGGCCTACCACCACGGGGATGAACTCTGAGCCACCCTGCTGCAGGGAGACAGCCGACAGATCCCGCGACTGCTGGGGTGGCCAAGGCAGGACCAGGATCCCCAGGCAGTCTCAGCAGTGATGAGATCCCTGGCCTTCCTCTCCCCACAGGGTAGGGTCATGGTTGTCTGGGCTGGCACCAGGCTCCCCATGGGGCTTACCTCAAAGCTCAGCTTGGCTGTGAATGGGTCATCATCCCCTGAGGGTTCCACAGTCTCATCCAGCCTCAGTGTCTGGGAATCTGGTGTCTAGCTAAGGTAAAACCTATGCCACAGCCGTGGCTCCCACCCCACCCATCCTGGCCTAGCCAAGGATACCGCCGCTTGCCACCTCCTGCCACCTGTCCTCACGCCGGTGCTGTGGCGCCTCCAGGTCAATGAGGGCCACAGCTTCTTCATCGCTGATGCCTTCCTCTAGCTGGAACTCTACCAGATGCAGCACCTCTGGGTACAGGGGCAAGTGACAATGGGAGCAGAGGCACCAGGGCCTCCTGGGGTGGCAGGGATCGTGGGCCCTCCCTGGGGTGAGATGGAAAGATGCCCAGCCTCTGCCCAGATCCTGCTGGGGCTCCTGCTTCCCATCTCCTGTCCCCAGCCCTGCCTCTGTGGAACTCACCATAGGAGGAGGCGGAGAAGACAAAGGGCTGA